AGCTGGGCCCCAGGAGGGGCCAAGGCAGTGGGTGGGGTGGACAGTTTCAAAGGCCAGCTGGGCAGGACCCATCCACCCGACTCCATTCCTGGGGACTAGCAGCCTCTTCCTCCCGGAAGGGAAGGGGAGTCCCACATTCAGGGCCATCCCCGTGGGCCTCAACAGGACAAGGGCTGCCCCTGGGGCGCTCAGGCATCTTCCTCACCCCTACCTTCCACTCCCCATCCTTCTTGACACTTCGAATGACTCCACTCAGGATTTCTGCAGGGAAGAGAGGGGAGGGCTCAGGATGCTGCTCCTCGGCCCCACCCCACCCTACGCCTTCTCTGCCTGAGGGCTAGACCCCACTTCCTAACTCACGCTTACGCTTACCCCTAACCTGCGAGGTGGCTCCTGGCATCACCCCCAACTTACAGACAGGGAAACTGAGGTTCTGCGAGGACAGGCAACTTGCCTAGTGACTGCGGCAAACGTAGCCACCGGAGAAATATGTTTCAGATGAAAGAAGTTGAAAGGCCAGCTCACCTACAGGTCTACCTGCCTCCAGGGCTGGGCCCTCAGCTTTCCCACTTGCCACCTCAAGTTATCCCTCTCTGGGGGTTTCACCCAGACCTCCACTCCACTTCCATCAGTCCCCCCTGGGCTAAGACGCAGGACCCCTGGTTCCCAGCCCTGAGGCGTGCCTGGCTGTGGTTACCCTACCGCCCTCCAGCCTCAGTTTTCTCATCTGTAAAATGGAATCACTGGTTTTTCCCATCTCCCCATTAAGCCCTGTGTAGACAGGACTCCTTTTTTAGCTGGAGGGCAGGGAGGGTTGAGCCACAGACTGCCCTGCCCAGAAGAAAGAGTGGGGAGAAGGGACCGAGTGGCCCGGCCGGCCATGTCCACTGTTATCAGGACCGCCAGGGCGGAAGAAGCAGCTGAGGCCGGAACTACCCGGGGTGGGGGAGGGGAGACCTTCCTCCCTTCCCCCTCCCCCCAAGGACCCTGGTCCGCCAGGCCGGGACGCCTGGGTCCTCGCGCTGCATCCGGGCTGCTGGGGATGGGGCAAGCAGGAAGCTGTCCCCCACACCACCCCCACGGGGCGTGGACACGCTCCCTGAGCGCTCACAAGCCCCGGGGTCACTGACCAGCAAACCACGGGGCCCCAGGAATCCAGTCCCCAAACTTTGCCCGGCTCCGAGACCTTGCAGTCCGGGCGTCTAGCTGCATCCTCCTTCCCTGCGCGGGTAGCCTAGGAGGCCCGGGAGTCCGGGCCCGAGCCTACGCCACCCTCTATGTGTCCCCTTCGGGTCCCCGGAGTCCAGTCTCCCAACTCTGTTCCGCTCGGGCACCGGAGAGCTGGAGTGTCCAGCTGGGACTGAGTCTCCGGCCGCCCCCTCGAGGATCAGGTGCTCGAGCCCGGCCCCCAACACTCCCCAACTCCCGCGGTCCCAGAGTCCGCGCGCCCCTGGCCCCCGTCCCCCAGGGAGGCACTCAGGAGCCTGGCCCAGGGGAGACACTCACTTTCCCCCACCACCGCCTTCAGCCCCGAGGGCGCCATCTTCCCCCAGGGGCGCTGTCGCCGCTTCCGGGTCTGTCCCAAGGTGGGGGCGTGGCCCCGCGCGACACCCACGTGGACCCGGTCCCGCCCCCCGCGCACCTGGCCCCGCCCAGGCCGAGGAAGTCGGGTCCCTTGCCCCGCGGACCTGCAGGTGCCGTCGGAGAGGCACGTCCCGACGACACGCTCGGAGATTGGAGCTCAGGCACACGCTCCCCCGGCTTGTGTGACCGCGAAAGCGGGATGGCAAACAACCCCTCATCCTCCCCAGGCCTTTGCGTCTGCGGGCTGTATTTCACAGTGCCCACTGGAGGCCACGGGGCCACAAACCTCTGAGCCTGGGACTGTGATACCCCTGCCTTCTGGACCTCAAAGTTTAGGGGCAGCAGCGTCAGGCTTGGACATTTGATCGATTCAGGAGGACACCTAGTGTGTGCCCGGCACCTGTGCTGTGCATCCTTCTCACTGGGTCCTGCCGGACACCCGACAGGGAGTGCAATGCAGTGGAGGAAACCGAGGCTTGGCAGGACCCATAGTCCAAGGCCACATGCTGAGTGAGCCTCCTGGGATTTGAGCCAAAGCCTGTCCCCAGAGGAATGCTTGTCACAGCCTCACACTTTCCTGGGTGCATGCCCACCTAGCCTCATGGGCCAACAATCTACATACATCAAAGGCTTACACACACACACACACACACACACACACACACACACACACACACATTTGCATTCGATTTGGAATCTCAGGGCCTCCTCCTGCTGTGTGTCCACTAAGGGCTGATGCCCTGTCACCTAGAGGGCACACCCATACAGATGAGGTCTCAGATTTAAGGTGTGACATATGTGTGCAAATACAGACTCCTGCTGTTCTGAGCTGGGTCCTTGATGATGAAGCGTCAGCAGGTGCCAAGCCCTCTGCCAGGGACATGGAACAGACAGGAGTGAATCGTGCCAGATGGCCTGCTCGAGTCGCATTTAACATTGATGGGGGGAGACAGAAAAGAATCGATTCTGCCCTCAAGGAAACAAACCGTGATGTGATAGCAAGTGGCACCAGGGTAGGGTGCCACTTTATTGTGGGCGGGTGCAAAGGGAGGGCATCTCTGAGGAAGTAGCTTTCAAACTTACCCGTGAATGACATTAAGAAGCTGGGCTGGGTGCGGTGGCTCACACCTGTCATCCCAGCACTTTGGGAGGCCGAGGCGGGAGGATCGCTTGAGCCCAGAGTTCAAGACATAGAGAGACCCCGTCTTGACAAAAAATTTTAAAACTTAGCCGGGCATGGCGACACGAGCCTATAGTCCCAGCTACTCGGGAGGTTGAGGCAGGAGGATGGCTTGAGCCCAGGAGTTTGAGGTTCCAGTGAGCTATGATCATGCCACCGCACTCCAGCCTGGGTGACAAAGCAAGACCCTGTCTTGAAGAAGAAAGAGGAGAAGGAGGAAGAGGTGGAGGAGGAGCTTAAGGAGGTTGTGCAGCTGGAGGGAAGGCAGAGAGAGGAGCAGGGCAGGAAGTGAGGTCACAGGCCAGCAGGGGCCAGACTTCTGTAGGAGGAGGACTAACCCATCTTGGAACCAGGGTCAGCAGGACTTTCGGTGCTAAAAATAGGACAGTCACAGGCAAACCAGGACGGTTGGCCACCTTAGGTAGAAGTTGGGGCTCTTTCTGTCTTCCTTTCCCCCTCCTTCCCTTCCTCTTTAATAGCCTTACTGAGATATAACTCACATACCATACAAGTCACCCACCTAAACCGTAGGAGTCAATGGCTTCTAGTATATTCCAGGTTGTACATCCGTCATCATCACCCATTTTAGGACATTCCCATGACCCCAAGGTGTTTGGGTTTTATCTTGACAACTATAGAGAGTTTTGAGTAGGCAAAGGTGGGGTCCCCTTCAGATCCTGGGGAGGGGGCAGTCAATAGGGCCTGTCTCCCCCACTCTACTATCCTTGGTGGGGGTGACCAGTGTCTTCTGATGTTATGGGCTGCACCGTGTTACCCCCAAAAGATATGAAGTCCTAATCTCCCGTATTTCAGAATGTGGCCTTATTTGAAAATAGGGTCCTTGTAGATACTAGTTAGAACAAGGTCATACTGGAATAGGGTGGGCCCCTAATCCTATGATTGGGGGCCTTATAAGATGACCATATGCCCGCCTGATTCTGTGAAGGTGGTTAAAAAAAAAGTTACACCATAATTCTAGCACGCTGGGAGGCCGAGGTAGAAGGATCACTTGAGCGCAGGAGTTCGAGACCAGCCTGAGCAACAGTGAGACCCCATCTCTACTAAAAATAGAAAAATTAGCCGGGCATGGTGGCACTTGCCTTGTAGTCCCAGCTACTCAGGAGGCTGAGGCAGGAGGATCCCTTGAGCCCAGAAGTTTGAGCTTGCAGTGAGCTACGATGACACCACTGCACTCTACCTGGGGCAATAGAATGAGACTGTCTCAAAAAAAAAAAAATTAGCCATATGAAGACAGGGACACAGAGGGAGTGTGCCATGTGACCACAGAGGCACAGACTGAAGAGCTGTAGCGACAAGCCCAGGAACACCAAGGACATTAGGCAAAGGCAAAGAAGGACCCTGAAACCTGTAGGGTTTCTGCCAACACCTTGAGTTCAGGCTTCTGGCCTCCAGAACTTTGACACAGCAAATTTCTGTTGTTTTAAAAAGCCATCCAGTCTTTCTTTGGCATTTTGTTCCAGCAGCCCTAGGAAACTGATACAACCGATGAGGGACAGGACATCTCCTTGGCGTGGAGGTAGAGGGTGTGAACATCGGTCTTCGTGGGGTGGTGGAGCCTCGGGCAGGGCTGGTGATAGCACAGCCTGTTTATTCTGGGAACAAACTTCCACCGGGTTTCGAGGAAGGCGTCTTGAGGAGGGGATGGGGACCCCCCAGTGGCATCCCTTTCTAGGGAACTGAGGGAAAGGCACGGCAGCTCAGGGGAGGGGACACGGACCTCCTCTCCTCCCACCTGCCTCCCTCCCTGGGAGTGTTGCCTCCCGTTCCCACGCAGGGCTGGGGTGATGGGTCAGAGGCAGCTCAACTTGGCACTTGGGTGGCTCGGGGACAGGAGATCTCAGACTTTCTTGTCTCAGGGCCTGAGGTGGGCAACCAGGCCCCAGGGACAGTGAGCAGGAGGAAGGGTGGCCAGGAGAGCCCTTGGGACACTGCCAATGACACAGAGCTGGTGCTAGGCTGGCCGGTGGTGCCCAAGGTGGGTGCAGAGAGGAAGGGGGGGGTCCTGGGCTCCAGCTGCTTCTTCCCCTGCCCCCTGCAGGTGGCCACTGCCCTTCCAATAGGAGGAGGCCACAGGAACCAGTGAGGGGACCCAGGTGGCTGGGATGGGGACATCCTGCACTGGTTCCCACTGGTGGACTGCACTGGGTAGAGCTGGCCACTGCTCTACCCTGTCGGCCTGTCTTCTCCAAGCATAGAGACACTGCTCTGGCCTCCTGGGACAACCTACCTGAGAGTCCCTGGGGCCTGCTAACTGCTGCTGGGCCCAGCAAGGTCCAAACCCAGGTCACTCTGTCCCTACCCCCACGCCGGACCCAGCATCATTGTGGGCAAACAATTATCTGGATCATCTTTATGGGGCTTAAGCTTGGGTGGGAGCAGATGGGGCATGAGCTGGGGATTTGAGGCTGGGGGGGTAGATCCACACCCCCACATCCTGGTCATTTAAAAGCCCCTCTCTGGCACAGGGCCGGGGCAGAGGCCACAGGAAAGTGGACAGAGCCCAAGGGCAATGACAGACCAAGAAGAGAAGGCAGAGGAGGGGGGCTCAGCCCCCTTTGCCAAGGTGAGAGGGCCTCGCCCCACCCCCAGCTCCTCAAGGTCCCAGAGCCTGTGATTGCCAAGATGAATTAGTTTGTAGGGCACCTAATTATCAAGCCAGTCTCCTAGGACCCCCTGACCCAGTTGCCACTGTAGGAAGGGGCTGGTGGGCTTGAGTGTCTGTGTGACTGGTCCCTGCCCCAGGGCAGAGGGCAGGGCTCTAGGCTGACCTGTGAGAGGGAGGATGCTGGGACTTGGGGGGGGGGGCCCTGGGCCATTTCCCTGGTGCAAGTCCCAGCTCCCAGGCCACCCACCTGGCAGGCCCCAATCTAGGACGGCGGGATACTGGCCCTGAAGCCTGTCCCTTGGGGCGGCACCACGTGAGGCGGCACTGCTGGCGGGGGGCCCGGGGCGGGGGCCGGGATTGGGAAGGAGACTCATGTCTCATTTGGAGCAGCTCTGCAGAGCAGATCGGCGGCGGGCACCATGGTGAGAGCTGAGGGGCAGAGTGGGAGGTGGCCGGCCTGGAGGACAGGGGAAGGGTCCCCGAGCTGAAGGGCCAACTAGACCAAGTGGGTCTGTCCCCAGGAGGGCTCCCCGGACCAGGAGGGTTTCTTCAACCTGCTGAGCCACGTTCAGGGTGACCGGATCGAGGCGCAGCGCTGTTCACTGCAGGCGGGGCCAGGCCAGACCACCGGGAGCCGTGAGCGTGGGCACAAGGGTGCTGTCTGAGGGAATGGGGCGGGAGTGCAGAGGTGCAGGGCGAGTGACCATCTGGGGGGCCCTGAGGGCACGGGGTGGGGGAGATGACCATGCATCCTGGAGGTGAGGGGCTGGGGATGGTGGCCCCAGCTGGGCTATGTCCTCCCACGTCTGCATATGTGTCCACCTCCGTGTGCCTCTGCTCCATGCAGAGGGTGGCCCCACACCAGAGATGGACAGCCTCATGGACATGGTGGCCAGTACCCAGGGTCGCCGCATGGATGACCAGCGTGTGACAGTCAGCAGCCTGCCTGGCTTCCAGCCCGTGGGCCCCAAGGTAGGTGATATTCTGCCAGTGCTGAGCAGAGACCCACCAGGCTGCCCATCCCAGCCAGGAGTGAGAGGGGCCTGCCCCCACCTCTGTCCACCATGTCCATGGCCCGCGGACATGCCCCTGACTTCAGACGGAAAGGGCGTGAGGTCATGCAGGAGCCATGCAAGTCTCAGAGCCTTGGCTGAAACTCACGGCTCCTGCCCCCACGTCTGTGGGAGGGAGGATGCTGGGACTTGGGGGAGGCTCTTGGGCCATTTCCCTGGTTTGGGGGAGGCTGAAGGGAGAGAACAGGACCCATTCCTGGGAAATCGCACCCAGAGAGGAGGACACGTGAGCACACGCACAGGAGGAACACATCTGCACAATCACATGTGTTGATGTCACATGTACTCATGCACAGCCTGGGTTCCGATCAAGACCCCAGCGAGAGCCCCAAGGCCTGCCACCTTACACCCAATACCATCCTAAGTAGCGGGTAATGAAGGTTAACATGGATGAATGCGGGACATGGGTCCACACCTGCACCCTCTCTGCAAGGTTTGCGTCACCTCTGTCTTGGCTGATGCCTCTTCATCCACAGGACGGAGTGCAGAAACGAGCTGGGACCCTCAGCCCCCAACCCCTGCTCACTCCTCAAGACCCGACCGCTCTCAGCTTCCGTCGGAACAGCAGCCCCCAGCCCCAGACACAAGCCCCCTGAGGGCCTGAGCCATCCTGGGTCCCACTCGGCCCCCGAAAGCAGACAATAAAACACTTCCATGAGTAAAAAGAAACTGAGTATGTGTTATTTCATTGGGGGAGTGGGGATAGTTAGGACTTGGAGGGCTCAGGGATTCTGCTGGGCAACTCGAAGGAACTTCTCCTCCCGCTGCTTCCGTATCCTCTCTTTGAATTCTTCTATCTCTTGGCGCTGGTGGTGGGGAAGCGGGTGGGACAGGAAGGGAGGAGGGGGCACACACCTCAGGGCCTGGACCCCTCTCCCACCACCCCGGGCCCTACTCCCCCAGAGCACGGCTTCAGAGTTCAGTGTCTACACTGGAAGCCCCATGCTAATTACAACCAGGATCCAAGTGGGCTCAGCTTCATTCTTCAGAGAGAAGGCAAAAAGGAAACAAAAATGCTCCTCTGCTCTCAGTTCCCTACTCATGGCTGAAGGTAAAATATTCATTTGAAACCCACCATGGCCAAGGGGAACCAGCCTCCTCCATCCCTCTAGTGGGAAGAAGAGTAGATCACTTACCTGGCCCTCCTTCTCAGGTGGCCACAGCTCCCTCTGTGGGGACAAAGTCACAGCTGGGGGCACGAGCCAGGTGCCTGCAGAGCCCCACACTCAGGGCAGGGTCAGCTCACGGGAGGCAGACATTGGTACTCAGCAGACTGGTTCCCCACACCCTCCCCCACTCCCTGGACTGAACCTGTGAACACTCTCCTCAATGCCCACCTTGCGCAGTACGACGTAGTCCTCAAACCACTCGGCCTGATTCGAAATCCAGAACATAGTCACAGGGAAAGCGAGGTAGAGTGCCATCTAGAAAGGCAGAGGACGGGGGAGCAGAGCCAGGGATGTGCACTCCAACAATGTGCAGAGGTTGCTCAGAGCTTGGAGGACCCATCCTCCTGGAGAGTCCGGGAGCACCCTAGAACTCCCACTAAGGGTATAGAAGCCTCACACCTTAAAACCTAGCCCCCAAATCCAGGAGGCCTTATTCCTAAAAGCCCCTCAAAGCTGGGAGTCTCTGTCTCAAAGAAAGACACACACATACCTGCCCCGGTAGCACAAGAACACCTACTACAATCAAGACACCTCCTCCAGACCTCAATAGCCACCTCCCCTAACCAGATGCCCCCAACAAGCTCAAGAGGCCTCATTCTTCAAGTCTATTCCCCTAAGTCTAGGAGTCTCCCTGAGACACCCACCCACTCACCATGCATCCTAGAGCTCCCCCAGGATCTGAAACCTTTTTTCTTAGAGCCGCCTCGTCAGCTCACCCCTCTCAGAGGCCCTTCCTCAGTCCAGCCTTCTCAGAGCCCCCTAACCCAGAAGCCCCACTGGGAGAGCCCCCTCCTCTGGGTTGCCAACCATAAAGGTCCCTCTCAAATCTCAAAAGCTTTCTTCCCAGAGCATCCCCTCTTTGGAGTCCCCCCGTCTTCACAGCCTCTTCCGCAGATCCAGGAAGATCCCCTGCCCAGCCTCCCAATCCACTCACTCCGGGGTTCACTGACCCGAAACACCTCCAGCTTCACCCCCATTTCGCTTCTCTGGGTTTACAAAGCCACTTCCGCCCAAAGTCGACCCTCTAGCAAGACAGCAGTTCATTGGTGTTTCGCGGGCTCCACTGCTGAAGCTGATTGGCTGATGAGCCCCAGGATGACGTAATCTTCGGGCGCCTCTTCTCTGCTTCCGTTCGCGGATGTCTTCTAAAAGAAAGTCAACAGCGCGGGCCGCGCAGTAGGAAGGATTCAGCCAATAGGAAACGGGCATGGCACGGGGGGGCGGGCCTTCAGTGGGAGACCTCATAAGCCCGCGACTCTCGCTTGTACCTGGAGAGCCAGGAAAATGGTGGTGATGGCGCGTCTCTCGCGGGCCGAGCGGCCGGACCTTGTCTTCGTAAGTCCACGGCGGAGCTGAGGGTGGCCCATGTGGGCGCACTGAGACCTAGATGCTACAGGGAATTGGAGCCAGGTCACTCAGTGGATTTAGGTCGAAACTGTCCCAGGCCAAGGGGTGGAGAAACCTAAAGGGCCAGAAGCCAGCTCGTGATGTCCGCACTGGGGTGGCCAGGGTGTCGCACCTGGTGGACTGAGTAAAGAGCAGCTGTCGAGTTTAAGGGCCTGGCGTCCCAGGCCAGGGGGCGGAGATGGGGACGCGCGGGGAATGGAAGAGAAGAGAGGTCGCATATGTGAATCTTGACAGGTAAAAACTTTGTGTCTGAAATAAAGGCATGGTGACCAGGCCTTTCTGGCTTCTGGCAGAAAGACTTAGTGTTCTGGAGAACGGTCTAGGTCAGGTCTGGAGCGTTATAGTTTCTGGGATAAAGGCCTGGTGTCTGGGCTAGGAGAACTTTGATGACAAGGAGCTTGTCAGGCGATTGCCAGTGGGATCCCGAAGAACCAAGGACGTGGTGTCTGCAGTAGGGGCCTGGCATCTTCAGATTTTTGGTGTCTAGGGTTAAAGGCATGGTGTCTGGTCTGTTACTTTCCTTCTGAGATAAAGGCCTAGCTTCCAAGTTCTGGGGCAGAGTTGAGCTAGACGCTGGCTAATGGGATCCTGAGGGGCCGGTGGCTTGGTATCTGGGTCTGAGAGCCCTGGTGGCCGAGGTAAAGTTCTGGTCATCTGGGCCTGGGGCAGTGATGGGTCATGTGGTGGCATTGGGAGCCTGAGATGCCAAAGGCCTGGTGTCTAGGAAGAGGTATGTTTTAAAGAGGTCTGCTGTCCAGGGCAGAGGCCTGACATCTGGACCAGGGCCCTGGTGTCTATGAAGTCTGGTAATCTGGGCCAGAGAGTGGGCGGTAGGATTCGGAGGGCCAAAGTCAAATGTCCAGGTGATGCAGGCTCATGTCTGGCCTGGAACCATAAGGACTGAGAGAAGTCTGATAATCCGGGTATGATTGTGGGCAGGTGAACTCTGAGGGTTAAAGGTCTGGATTAGTGTCTTGGTGTCTGGTGACCTGGCTGCTATGGTGGGCAGTGGGATGCGGGATCCAGGCAAAAGTCAGGAGTTTGGGCCGGAGCCCCAGTAGTGGGGTGATGCTACACTCAGGCTCTGAGGGTAGGTGTCTCTTCTCCCCCTTCCCTGGCAGGAGGAAGAGGACCTCCCCTATGAGGAGGAAATCATGCGGAACCAGTTCTCGGTCAAATGCTGGCTCCGCTACATCGAGTTCAAACAGGGTGCCTCGAAGCCCAGGCTCAATCAGCTGTATGAGCGGGCACTCAAGCTGCTGCCCTGCAGGTAGGAACGGCTCCAGCTACCCTGCCCATGAGGCAGGGCAAATGGTTCTGGGGGTCCATAAAACTGACCAATCAGTGTTTGTCCCATCCTATTCCCCAGCTACAAACTCTGGTACCGCTACCTGAAGGCTCGCCGGGCACAGGTGAAGCATCGCTGTGTGACCGACCCTGCCTATGAAGATGTCAACAACTGCCACGAGAGAGCCTTTGTGTTCATGCACAAGGTGGGGGCTGGGCGAGGGGATGAGAGGGAAGGTGGGGCTCAGTCCACGGAGGTGGGCCAGAGCAGGGGGGCTGGGCACAGCATGGGAAGGGTAGGGGTTTGCAGTCCTGTTTCCTCTGTGCATGAGAGATTGGGTTGGACTCAGTCCTGGAGTTGGGGGTTCTGGGTCCTGCTGCGTTTACGTGGAAGTCCCTGGAGCGGCTTGGCCACAGGACATCTAATGTCTGTGTCCGGGCCATGGAGCCCACAACTCAGACCCCGCTGCCTCTCCCTATACCCCCAGATGCCCCGTCTGTGGTTGGATTATTGCCAGTTCCTGATGGACCAGGGGCGTGTCACACACACCCGCCGCACCTTCGACCGTGCCCTCCGGGCGCTGCCCATCACACAGCACTCTCGCATCTGGCCCTTGTACCTGCGCTTCCTACGCTCACACCCACTGCCCGAGACAGCCGTGCGAGGCTACCGGCGCTTCCTCAAGGTAAGCCCAGCTGGTGGGCCGGTTCCCCAGGTTGGAATTTCCAGAAACTGTCTCACTGGGACACCAGTGCCAGCCCCATGTGGAATGTCATTCAACAGACAGGACATGGGAAGATGCACAAGGTTGGTTTGTGGTTCGTGTCTTTATTTCCCAAATAGTTGGCTTGCACCTGTTCACATCAGGCATAGAGACGGGGCAATGTGAGCAAGACAGTCCCTGCCTGCGTGGAGCTTTAGGTGGACAGACCCACACTTGCTGCCCACATTAACCGGAGTAAACTGCAGCCGTGGTGAGGGCAGCAGTGAGAGCTGGGCAGAGCTACGGGAGCATATGACAGGCAAGGCTGACAGTGGAGGTGCTGCTGGGCAGGGATGAGGTGCGGTCTGCTCCAGCTTGTATCTGTTGTACGTAGTGAATCCCTGAGCACAGTGTACTGGGGTGGGTGGGTGTTGTGGTGGAAGCAAGGCGTGGCCAGCACAGGCTGGACCACTGGAGTCTAAGCCAGACCAGTCAGGACTGGAGCTGGGCCAGTGGGTTGAAGCTAAATAAAGTCTAAGGCCAGACTAGTCAGGGCTGAGGTTGGATCTATGGGATCAAGGTTGGACCAGTGGGACTGAGGCTGGACCAGTGGGGCCAAGGCTGGACCTGTGGGTGTCAGGGCTAACCCAAAAGGGCCAAAGCTGAACCAAGGAGGCCGAGGCTGGGTCAGCAGGGCTGGCTCTTGGCCAGGACCGTGGCAGGTGGGTGGCAGGAGGCCCAGAGCCACTGAGTCGGGAGGGGGCGTGGCCCTGCTGCCCTACTGACTGCCGGCGGGGTGGGTCGGTCTCCAGCTGAGCCCCGAGAGTGCAGAGGAGTACATCGAATACCTCAAGTCCAGCGACCGGCTGGATGAGGCCGCACAGCGCCTGGCCACTGTGGTGAACGATGAGCGCTTCGTGTCCAAGGCTGGCAAGTCCAACTACCAGGTGGGCCTGTGGGATATGGGAGCCCAGAAGGGGTGGGGGGGTGGCTTCCCCCACTTCAGGAACAAGACCGAGACTCTTCCCTGCCCTCCGCTCTCCACCCTGCAGCTGTGGCACGAGCTGTGCGACCTCATCTCCCAGAACCCAGACAAAGTGCAGTCCCTCAACGTGGACGCCATCATCCGCGGGGGCCTCACCCGCTTCACCGACCAGCTGGGGAAGCTCTGGTGCTCGTTGGCCGACTACTACATCCGCAGTGGCCACTTCGAGAAGGTACGCGCCGGCACACAGGCCTCTGGGTGTGGGGCGGGGTCTCCCTCCCATACTCAGATGCCGTTTGTGACAGATGCGCATGTCCACGAGCATGAATGCTGTCCCAAAGTCGAGGAGAGGCAGGACAGTCCTGCCCACAAGCACACCAGCCTTGGCCTCAGCCAGACCTGGGTTCGAGGTCCATACCCCCTGGCTATGTGGCCTGGGTCCCGCCAATCCTAGGCGTCCCCATTTGCAAAATCGGGGTGATACGCACTTCCTGGCCCATGAAAACTCAACAGTGATGCTCGCAGAGCACCAAGCAGGTGCTTGACGTGAGGGCCACTCCCTCAGGGACATGTGTCTGTGACTGTCCTTGTCAGCTTGTTCTTGTCATCAAGCTCAGGGGACAGGGGGAGTGAGTAGGGCTTTGAGAGTCCCAGAGGGCTGGCCGCGGCTGCTGTGGCCTGAGGGAAGGTGGGTGCCAAGGCAGGGGAGGCTCAGGAACTGAGGACGTTGTGGACGGCTAGGACCCTTGCAGGTTGAGGGGGCGCTGGCCATGCTACCCAGCTAGGGGAGCCACCAGCAGGGCGTAAGCAGGTGCGCGTTTTTCTGGACGCGCTGGCCACAGCTGCAGAGACGGTGGGGCAGGACCAGTCAGGCTGAGAGAAGGGGCCTGAGCTTGGGTAGGGGTGGGGTGCTGAGAGAACGCGAGCTGGAGGAGGAGGTCACACAGGCATGAGGGGTGCTTTGGAGCAAAGACAGCCCTCCATAGATGAGCTGAGGGGAGGGTCCCTGTAGGCTGCACCACCAAGTGCTTTAAACACTGGTCTCAGTGAAGCCTTGAGGTGACTCTGCGCAAGGGGCTGTCACCCACAGTTTACCGAGGAGGCCCTGAAGGTCCTGAGATCGCTCCGGCAGCACAGGGCAGGTCTGTCCCGCGGCTCCATGCTGGGGTCACTGCCCAGAGCCTGTGGTGCTGGGCAGCCCAGCAGCGGTTCCAGTTTGGGGCTGCTGCCTGTTCCGCGCATCGCTTTCCTCTCACCTCGCACCCCCCTTCCCCACCACAGGCCCGGGACGTGTACGAGGAGGCCATCCGGACGGTGATGACCGTGCGGGACTTCACACAAGTGTTTGACAGCTACGCCCAGTTCGAGGAGAGCATGATCGCCGCTAAGATGGAGACCGCCTCGGAGCTGGGGCGTGAGGAGGAGGGTGAGCCTCAGGGAAGGGAGGTCGGGTGTCGGTGGGAGAAAGGGGTGGGTGGGGGCTGGGGGCACGTCTCAGGTGGGGCCAGCCCTAGGTGGCTCACCCAGGGTCTGACAGGGAAAGAAGCTGGGAGGACAGTGGGGGTTTGGGGTCCTGGAGGAGCCAGGACTGGGGACGTGGCCAGAGACTGGCAGGGCAGGAGGTCTGAGGGGAACTGCAGGAGTCAGCGCAGTTTCCACAGTAGCAGGGGTGCGGGGTGGGTCTCAGGTGGACCGCTGGGTGGGCAGTTGATTGGACAGCCACGCTGAGTCTCTGAGGCCCAGGCACTTGGCGAGTGGCTGGAACAGAGAGAGGGCTGGGAGCCAGGCGGCCACCTGCTAAGGCCTGTACTCTCACAAACGTGTTTGTGGCTCCCAGATGACGTGGACCTGGAGCTGCGCCTGGCCCGCTTTGAGCAGCTCATCAGCCGGAGGCCTCTTCTCCTCAACAGCGTCTTGCTGCGCCAGAACCCGCACCACGTGCATGAGTGGCACAAGCGCGTGGCCCTGCACCAGGGCCGGCCCCGGGAGGTGTGTGAGGGCCACCCGGACCCCGCCCCTCAGAGCCCCGGCCCCACCCCTCTGTAGCCAGGCTGCACTCTGGCTCTGCCCCTAGAGACATGGCCCTGCCCTGGCTCCACCCCTCTGTGTGGGGTGCTGCTCCTCTGGTGTCACCCTTCAGAGCCACAGCCCTCGGCCCCGCCCCTTGGAGCCCTGTCCCCAGCCCCTCGGAGTCACTGCCCTGTGGACACCTGCAGGGCCCCAGTCCAGCCTGACCTCCCCCTCCTGCCCCCAGATCATCAATACGTACACGGAGGCTGTGCAGACGGTGGACCCCTTCAAGGCCACAGGCAAGCCCCACACGCTGTGGGTCGCGTTTGCCAAGTTCTATGAGGACAACGGGCAGCTGGATGATGTGAGTGCCTTGCTGTGTGTGCCTTCGTACGCACGTGCGTGTGTACGGACACAACTGTGTTTCTGAGCGTTGGTGGTGGGGGCTGTCTGGCAGGCAGGGTCTCAGCCTGGCCTCTGCCCGCCCCCGGCAGGCCCGTGTCATCTTGGAGAAGGCCACCAAGGTGAACTTCAAGCAGGTGGACGACCTGGCCAGCGTGTGGTGCCAGTGCGGGGAGCTGGAGCTCCGACACGAGAACTACGACGAGGCTTTGCGGCTGCTGCGGGTAAAAACAAGGCCGAGCTGGGGGCGCGGGCGGTGGGCTGTGCAGCCAGGGCCTGAGACAGCCCCTCAGAGCCACCCCCTGCTGCCTTCCCCCCTGCAGAAGGCCACGGCGCTGCCCGCCCGCCGGGCCGAGTACTTCGACGGCTCGGAGCCTGTGCAGAACCGCGTGTATAAGTCCCTGAAGGTGTGGTCGATGCTCGCCGACCTGGAGGAGAGCCTCGGCACCTTCCAGGTGAGCTGCCCTTGGCCGGAGAGGGACAGGGCCTGGACGCAGCCCCGGAACATGCTCCGACCTGCCCCTGTCCCCGCAGTCCACCAAGGCCGTGTACGACCGCATCCTGGACCTGCGCATTGCCACACCCCAGATTGTCATCAACTACGCCATGTTCCTGGAGGAGCACAAGTACTTTGAAGAGAGCTTCAAGGTGAGGGGGCCGGGGGCAGATGGTCTGGAGGTCCCAGATGGCAGTGTCCCTTCCTCAGGGCCCTCGGGCACTGTGAGAGTTTGCCAGGGCCACTGTGACAAGCTACCACAGATGTGGTGGCTTAAACAACAGGGATTTATTATCTCACAGTTCTGGAGGCTGGAAGTGCAAGATCAAGGCATCAGCAGGATTGGTTTCTTCTGAGGCCTGTCTCTTTGGCTTGCAGGCGGCTGCCTTCTCCCTGTGTCTCCGTGTGGTCGTTTCTTTGTGCGTGTCAGTGTCCAAATTTCATCTTAAAAGGTCGTTAGTCATAAGGGATTAGGCCCACCCTAGTGACCTCATTTCTAGTGATCTCAACTTCAAACACGTCTGTAGTCTGAGGTACTGAAGGTTGTGACTTCAGCATGTGCGCGTTGGGAGGGCACGGCCTGCAGCAGGCACCGAGTCCCGCCTCCACGGACACGTATGAGGTGGGGGGGTGTTGGTGCTGGTGTGTGCAGGCCATCCCCACCCCCTGCTGCTCCGGCGACACGTTGTAGGTCTGTGGGGTGTTGTACATGTCTGTGTGGTGAGGCCCACACCGGAGTGGTCGTGCTTGTGTGGACATAGAGGTCGTGCACATACACTTGTGCCTGGGAGTGCGACCCTTCCCCCAGGACACTGGGAGCCCATGTCTGCAGAACTGAAGAGCACCCCCGCCTCCACCCATAACGTCACCTAATAGGTGCCAGACTCTGGGCTTAGTAAGTCCTTCTGCACCCCAGCCTTGGGGTCCTTGCAGTCTGGGGAGGCCCAGAAGGGAGGGGTGTACAGGCAGGGCCCTGTGAGTGGAGCCCAAGGGAGACCAGGGCAGGTTCCTGACAGATGTCACCCAAGGGCATCCTGGGTGCCAGGTGGTCTCCACCCGCAGACTCACATACATGGCTCCTCTCCCGGGACAGGCGTACGAGCGCGGCATCTCGCTGTTTAAGTGGCCCAACGTGTCCGACATCTGGAGCACCTACCTGACCAAATTCATCGCCCGCTATGGGGGCCGCAAGCTGGAGCGGGCGCGGGACCTTTTCGAGCAAGCACTGGACGGCTGCCCTCCCAAATACGCCAAGAGTGAGGAGGGGCGGGCGCAGAGGAGGGCTTGGGAAGGGGCGACATGGGCCGGGCCTCTGACTGACCCCGGGCTCACTGCTCTGCCCTCCCCACCGCAGCCCTGTATCTGCTGTACGCCCAGCTGGAGGAGGAATGGGGCCTGGCCCGGCACGCCATGGCCGTGTACGAGCGGGCCACCAGGGCCGTGGAGCCTGCCCAGCAGTACGACATGTTCAACATCTACATCAAGCGGGCGGCCGAGATCTACGGAGTCACCCACACCCGCAGCATCTACCAGAAGGCCATCGAGGTGCCTGCCACAGGGAGCCCGGGGAGGGGCTGGAGGTCCCCGAGAGGACAGGATGGAAGGGGTCCCTGCAAGCAGGAGGGGCTGGGAGGACGGCCGCAGTGTGCGCGGAGCCCTCCAAGCTGCCCCAGCCTCATACCCTGCCCTCCCTGACCCCACGGTCACCAGGTACTGTCGGACGAGCACGCCCGCGAGATGTGTCTGCGGTTCGCGGACATGGAGTGCAAGCTCGGGGAGATCGACCGCGCCCGGGCCATCTACAGCTTCTGCTCCCAGATCTGCGACCCCCGGGTAGGGCCGGATGCTGGGAGGAACGTCGTCGGGGAGCCCGTGGCCCAGCTGGCCGGCTCACGCCCCCACCCTCTGCCCCACAGACAACAGGCGCGTTCTGGCAGACGTGGAAGGACTTCGAGGTCCGGCACGGCAACGAGGACACCATCAAGGAGATGCTGCGCATCCGTCGCAGCGTGCAGGCCACCTACAACACGCAGGTCAACTTCATGGCTTCGCAGATGCTCAAGGTGTCGGGCAGCGCCACAGGCACCGGTGAGCAGCCGCCGTGGGCCACCCCTAGCCTGGGCCGGGCACACACCGGTGCCTCAGCCCTGCCCAGCCGTGGCCTCCTGGGTCTGGGAGAGAACCCGAGGGCTGGGAAGGGCCCCCTATGGCGCTGACCCCTGCCCCCACCCCCGCAGTGTCCGACCTGGCCCCCGGGCAGAGCGGCATGGACGACATGAAGCTGCTGGAGCAGCGGGCGGAGCAGCTGGCGGCCGAGGCCGAGCGGGACCAGCCCCCACGGGCCCAGAGCAAGATCCTGTTTGTGAGGTGAGGGCCGGGACAGGCAGGGGGACAGGCCCCATGGTGCAGGGCAGGGAGCCAGGGGAGTGGGGCCCGCTGAGGCAGTGCACCTCCCGCCTCCAGGAGCGACGCGTCCCGGGAGGAGCTGGCGGAGCTGGCGCAGCAGGTCAACCCCGAGGAAATCCAGCTGGGCGAGGACGAGGACGAGGACGAGATGGACCTGGAGCCCAACGGTGAGGGGCTGGCCCTACAAGGGCGGGCAGCAGGGGGCGGTGACTGGCCACTGGCCCAGAAGAGTGACCGGCCCTCCCTGCCTCCCCCCAGAGGTCCGGCTGGAGCAGCAGAGCGTGCCGGCCGCGGTGTTCGGGAGCCTGAAGGAAGACTGACCCTCCCCCATGACACTCCCCGTTCCTGCAATACAGCCCCTGTTTGTACGTCACGGTCTCGGCCTCCTTCCTGCCACCAGGTACCCGCAGGGACTGCCAGCTCAGGAGCGCCCTGGCCCCGCGCCCGGATTGGCTGCCGTGGGAGGTGGGGCGGCTGGGCCCCAGGCCAGACACCCGCCCCACCCTCACCCTGCAGAGCCAGTTCTGGACGCCGAACGGCCAGTCCCTCTGCCGCCTGGGGCCCCAGAGCAGGTCCTGTCCAGAAGCTTCCTTGAGCCCCAAGCCAGGGGGCATCTGGCCCCCCCTCTGCCAGGCAGGGCCATTCCGTGTCCCCAAGCGACAGCCTCTCCCAGGGTGAGGGGTGCCCACCAGAGCCCTGGAGTCGGGCAGGCCCTGGTCCAGCTCCGTGAACTTCTCAGTGAGGCACTTTCCCTGGAGAGGGGCCACGAGCTGGGCGTGGTCCTTAGTCCTAAGCTCCGGGAAGCCATTAGCGGGCTCTAAGCTATTAAGGGGTTTTAAGCATCAAGAGATATAATCAGATTTGTGCTTCGAACAGGTCACAAGACTAGAAAGAAGTGAGGCATCAGGGAGCTGGGCCCTGCCTCCGAGACGGCCAGGGTGGCAACTGGGTCCTCAGACGTGGAGCTCAGAGGGAGGGAGAGAACCCCTGGCCCAGAGGGGGTGACTATCCGTGGAAACTTAGGCAGGGGAGATAAGATCAAGCTAAAAGGTGGCCCTGGCCCAAAGGCCAGGGCATCAACAGTGACACAGGAGCGTGAGATCCAGCCAGGGGTGGCAGAGGCCAGGGAGGGCTGGTCAGAAGCCTCCTGCCCAGGAGGTCGGTTCAGAGGGAACTGAGAGGGGAAGAGACGCCAGGGTTGAGTCCAGAAAGAATGAGAGACCAGACATACAGCCAGCCAGCGGCCTCAGGGAGGTGACAAGGCACGGCTTCTCATTAAATTATTTTATTCAAGAAGGTGGGGAGGACAGACAAGGGGACTGAGCTGAGCCCTGAGTCCCTGAACCTCCCAGCTCAGCCCCCCCACAGCAGGACTGGACTCAAGTCAGGGGGTGGGGACTCCAGCCCCCCCCAGACAAAGTTGGGGACAGACAGGACCCAGGAATACCAACGGACTGTCCTCCAGGGGGCGGGGCTATTTGGGGGTGCTGCCGCCCTTCTTGGGAGTGGTGGGCTTCTTGCTCTGCCAGAGGTGTCCCTGGATGGTGAAGGCATCGACGCTCATGGACATGGTCTTGGCGGGGATCTGGGTGAAGCGCTTGCGGTCCGAGTTGTACTTGTAGATACCCTCGACCATGGCAGGCGTGACGGTCCGGGGCCCGTAGCCCGCCAGCCGCGACAGCTCCTCCGTCTCCCCTGACAGCGTGTAGAGCGCCCGGAACTGGCAGCTCGAGTCTCGAAAGAGGATCAGGAAGTGGTTGGCCTTGCTCTTCTCAATTTCCTGGAGGGGCGGCGGGACCAGTCAGCCAGGCCGGGCCCTGGGCTGGGGCCACTGACCCACCCGCCAACCCCTCACACGTGGGCTCAGCCCACCTCGAGAATGCGGTTCTTCTGTGGCTCGTTCACCTTGCCTGCCAGGCAGCAGTGCGACAGGGCGTTGTGGATGATGAACTTGTTGGACTTGGCGCTGGGCTCCTTGTACAGCCGCGGACCTGGGAGCGAGGGGCAGTCAGCAGGGATGACCAGGGAACAGAGGGGCCCAAAGCTAGCGACATCACCCAAAGCCCCACTTACCTGTGTACTCGGGCACCGACGCCGGGGAGGAGGCGTTGCTGCCGTTCTCCCAGTCGCGCTCACGGCTACCAGGCAGGCGGCTCGGGGACATAAGGCCTGATGGGGATGGAGCCCTGCAGTGGGGGAGGGACAGGATGGAGGTGGGATCAGTGGTGGGTGAAGCCCCCCACCCTGCACAGAGACCACAGGGCAAAGGCAGGCCCGGCACACTCTGCAGGGAAGGAGCCACGCATGCGCACTGCGTACCCTCGCGAGTCCACGCGGTGCCCTCTTGCACGCGCTCAACCCTCAAGCACGCCAGCCACTCACACGGGCACATCCGCGGGTCTTATCTGCCAGCTACAGACTGTCCCGCTCCCACGTGTCCTTCCGTCTCTTCGGGGGCGTATACACACACACACTCGAGCTATGCCACCCTCTAGGCTCACAGGGATGCACGCGACCCCCCACGTGCCCAAGCTGGGCTCACCGAGACGTCGGTCTCTTCACACCGAGGTTATTGGGGGCCTCGTTGGCCACAGTGGACAAGGACAGGGTGGACTGGGAGTAGATCTTGCTGAGCCGAGAACCTGGTAATAGAAGGCACAGGGTCAGTGCCCACCTGAAGGCCCCTCAGCTCTGCAAATGCCGAAGACGGCCTGGCCCAGCAGGCTGGCGGGTGTGACACTGGGTCAGCCCCCATTGGGACGCCTCACTCTTGAATGTACCCAAGGGGGCCTCACCCATTAAGCAAGGGAGTGGAGACCCCTCAACCCGCTGTACCCCCACATCCCCGTGCAAGTCCTCGCCCAACCAGCAGGGTCCCTCACTGGAGACCCCACCCCACCCCGCCACATCCCTGCCCCCGCACCCCTGCGAATTTCCCCCTCCCCACACCCCCAGGGGGCCTCACCCAGCAGTCCGCGGGCTGGGCTTCGCGCCAAGGCCGAGTCATCGCAGCAACCAGAGCGTGGCCGGGGGGCCCTCCGCCCGCCCCGACCCGGCCCCCCGGTCCCCGCGGCCCGGGGCCGCAGCACCTTGTCGAGGTCGTCCATCAGCTTCAGCTGGGCCCGGCGCTCGTACTCCAGCCGCGTGAACTCCCCGCGCCGGGGGCCCACCTCCTCCTCGGCTGGGGCCCGAGCGGCGGGGGCCGGGGTCGCCGTGGGGGCTGCGGGAGCTGCAGGGGCCTCCTCCTGGGCTAGCCTGCTCATGAAGGGGACACAGCAGTCAGAGCCAGTCACAGGGCCACCGAGGGCCAGGCAGACGGAGGGGCAGGGGTCCGCGGGGGGGCCGCACCCAGCCTCACCTCACAGCCTCCTCCCTCCGCTGCTCCTTCTCCGCCTCCTGCCACTGTTTGCGCCGCCTCGCCTCCTCCGCCCGCCGCTGCTGCCGCTCCAGCAGGCTGGCCCGCTTTTGCGCCATCTCATCCTCAGGCTTGTCGTCGTCCTGGGGGACAGACACCAAGTCCAGCTGGCCACCTCTCCCTTGGTACGGCTGGACTTCGCATCTTCCACCCACCCAGCCTGCCAGCCACTCGCCTGTTGTCTTGTTTTTATAATTGTTCTAAAGACATTCAGTTGGTGCCTACTTTATGCACAGCCCCACACGGGGTACTGGGACACCACAGGGATGGAGTAGACCTGAGCCCTGCTCACATAAAGTGCTTCGCCACGCAGGGAAAGACGATCCAATACGGCACAGACAGCAGTGAACGCTGGGCCATGCGCGTCTACCTGTCTACACTGTGGGGACAGACCCATCCTGGGCCTGGGGGCACCCAGCGGGGCTTCCTGGAGGAAGCACCTGAGAGAATGAGGAGGACATAACCGGGTAGGCATAAGGGGTGAGGAGAGCGCTCCGAGCAGAGGCAGCAGCTAGTGCCAGGGCCCTGGGGCAGGGCAAACCTAGCAGGGGGTGTCGGGACTGCCTGGGAGCGGCCCGGACAAGGTGGGAGGTGAGCAGAGCCCAAACCCTGGGGAAGACTTTCACTCTAATAGCAGGGGGAGCAGGCACATCCCTGACTGCTCGGAGGGAGATGGCCAGGGTCGAGGGGAGACAGCACAGACCTGGCAAGGGGTGACCGACTGCAGATGTCCAGGTGAGAGATGAGGGAGGCCCAGGCTGGGGGGCCATGAGGATGGAGAATGAGTGGACATGGGACAGGGCCAAAAGGGGACCTGGTAGGGCCATGCTAGGGGGAGGGGGTGTCCTGGAAGACCCCAGTCCTGTCTGTCCAGCCACCACTCCCATCCATCCATCTACCCACCGCCCCAACTAACTGTCCCTCTGGCCATGCACATCTGTCAGTGTGCCTGTCCACTCACGCCTGCCCGCCCACCCATCAGTAAAGCCCTCTCCGTCCACCTGTCTGTCCGTCTGTTCCCAGGAAGTCCCCACTTGCTAGCCCTCCCCCCACCTGCTCAGGTGACCCTCACCTTGTAGAAGAACCCCAGCCCGGCCCGGGGCTCCCCCTCTGAAGACACCTCTTCCTCCAACGAATCCTCGGCACCAGGGGGGCTCCCGTCACCCTCGTCCCCAGCGGGGGGCTCTTCCAGGCTGCCCAGCGGGATCTCAATGAGGCTGGGCCGGGCCACGGGCTCCTCGGGAGGCGGCCCCTCGGCCAGGAGGATGGAGGAGCGCGTCTGCACGGGCACCTGGCTCGGCGAGAACTTGCGCAGGTGGGGGAGGCTGTCCACGTCGTGGGGTGGCGTGAGCACCCTGGTCAGGGGCGCCAGCCGCAGCTCTGCCGGCCGCGCGTGCTTCGGGCTGCGGGGCGCTGGGCTGGGCCCAGGCCCAGGGCTGCGTCGGGCGGCCAGGGTGCGCCGGGCAGGGCTGGGGGATGCGGCCTTGGACCCTGTCGTGGGGCCAGGGATGACCCAGGCAGCAGGGGGTGGGGCGGGTCCGGGGGCCTCCGGCGGGGCCAGGAGCCGCTGCTGCTGGTCCGTGAGCCTCTGCATGTCCCGCTGCAGCGAGCTCAGCGCAGCACTCAGCTTGCTGACCGCTCGGTTGTACTCCCCCAGTCCCTCGGGGGGCACCGGGCCCAGCTCCGGGGAGAAGGTCACTGACTTGGGCCTGGAGGTCGGCTCGCCCTGGCCCTCGCCTGCCGGCCGCTCCCCACCAGGGGCCAGGCAGGGCTCTGCCTCCACATCCGCATCCCCCGAGGCCTCCCGGGGCTGCACCTGCAGGAAGGCGCTCTTGCCCAGGCGCTGGCGGTGCTTGGCGAAGATGGCCTCGATCCGCCGCTTCTGAGCCTCTATGGCCCTGCGCTTCTCCTCCAGCCGGGCCCCCAGCTCACTCATCTCAGAGCTCAGGGCCTCGGGTGGGACTGGGGTAGACGTGGGGGACCCTGCTCCGGCCTCAGCCTCTGCCTTCACCAGCTGCTTCTTGCGTTCGGCGAAGCTGGTCATCTTCACTTCAGAGTTGGTGGCCACCGGGGAGCCCTCAGGGGGGACTGGCGATTTCGATACCTCCCCCACCGGGCAGGGAGATGGTTTCGAGGGGGCCTCGGGGTGCGGCAGGTAGACGGGTGCTTTGGTGGGCCCGTCGGACAGAGGTTTGGAGGCCCCCTCGGGCAGGTAGGGGGGGGCCAGGGCTGGCTTGGAGGGCCCCTCTGGGGAGTGGAGGTAGAAGCTGCCGTCAGCAGCCCCGTCTGGGAGCAGCCGGGGCTCGGCGCTGTGGATGATCTGCAGGGCCTCCTCGATGGTAGGCAGGTCACCAGGCTCCGGGGGCGGCTGGGTGGGGGTCCGGGCCGGCACAGGACGAGGGGGACCCAGACTGTCCGAGCTGACCGAGCGGAGGAGGACAGGGTCTCCCATGACGACGTCCACGTCGCTGTCCAGGCCAAAGGGGGTGCTGAATGACACAGCCTGGGAGAGGGGACGGCTGGGCGGCCAGAGGGAGGGGTCAGCCGCTGGGACCAGCCTCAGCCCCACCCCACCCCGGCCTGCCCCTGCCCAGCCCCACCCTGGAGATGCACTCACCTGAGCTGCCGGTTCCAGGCCTTGCCGAGGGCCTCCATGTGGGACATGGACGGGGAGGACTTCAGGGAGCCTGGGCAGGGGTGAGTGGTCACCATGGGGACCCTGGGTGGGGTCCACCAGGGTCTGAGGGCAACCTCTGCAAGGTCACTGGGCGAGTCACTGATGGGTCATTATGTGGTCTAGTCAGACCGGAGGTTTCTAGTACCAGTAAGGGGTGCTACGGAGTCACTGTGGGTGTCACCTTGGGACCCAAAGGAGGGGTCACTGAGACATGAGGTCCTCTGGGGCCGTCTTTGGGTGAGAGTCCCCAGTGACAGAAGCCACCCCCCTCCTCACCTGTGGATCCTCGGAGCGGAGACTGGGGGCCGCCTGGTGACAGGAGCGGGTGGCGGAAGTTGAAGACGGGAGAACTGCCAAGAGAGGTACCTCAGCCTTGGGACCCCCTCCCTCGCCTCTCCTTGGAGGTGGGGACAGGGGTGTCCCCCAGTGCCCAGCCCAGAGGAGGAGGAACCCCCCACCCCCAGCCATGGTACCACAGACTTGCCCAACGGGAGGAGGGGGGACCGTACCTGCTGCCACCGCCATTCTGAGGTTGGGAGGCCTCGGTGCCCCGGGGGGAGGCGGCTGTGACACAGGAAACGGGATCAGGCAGGGCTCGACCCCCGACCCCACCCAGACCCCAGGCCCGGACCTCACCGTGACCGTCGGGCAAGTCCTTGGCCTGCACGAAGTCGGGCTTGAGCACCTCAAAGCACATGAACATCTCGGCCAGCAGCACGACCAGGTTGACCTAGAGGCGGGAGGAGGGGTTGGCCAATGGGACACCTGGCCCTAAATACCCGCCTCTGCCCACGAGGCCCCAGCACGGCCCTACCTTGAGCGGTGGTGGGACATAAAGCAAGTCCTCCAGGGAAAGAGGGCAGCCCCGCGGGAGGCGGGAGGCACAGAAATCTTGCACCAGCTGGAGGTTGTACAGGCTGTCCGCCACGGACATGGGGTCCTTGAGGCACACCTCTGTAGGGACAGGATGCCTGAGTGACTCTATGACAAGAGGACACGACTCCCAGGGAAACCAGGACCCAGTGGCCAATATACACGCAGGACCTCCCATGGGCCGGGCCTTGGCCAGATGCCCATTTTTTTCTGGAACACTGTCCTCCAAGAACTCAACTCAAAAAGCTTTTCCTGACCACCCATCATCCTCTGGGACACTTAACATCCCAAAGGTACTTCTGGATAAACTTAACGTCTAGAACTAGACAACCAGAATGTCGAGCTACCCATGAGGTCAGAAGCGTTTCTATTTGTTCTGGCTGGATCCTCAACACCTAAAATGGGGTCTGGCACGCAGTCTGCCCTCAATGCATTTTATCTGCTGCAGGAATGAATGAGTTCTATGAAGCACAGAGAGGTTTAGACACTTGCGTGAGGTCACACAGCTAATTGGGGGGAAGAAAGATGCAAACCCATGTCTGCTGATTCTGGAAGCTGCCCCCATAACCACTACATTGTACTGATTGTGCGGACCTGGGGACAGAGGCCTGGGGGCCACAACTTAGGATGCCTAGCTCCCCAGGACAGGGTGTGGCCCAGGCCCATACACTCACCCTCGAGTCGCAACAGCTGGGGACAATAGCAGTGGATTGTGGCAGCCAGCGCAGCCCCACTGGCCAAGTCCTGAAGCGTAGTCACGGTCGGAAAGCAGGGGGCGCGTCGGGCCACAGCACGGTCCTTGCGGTATCGGATCTGCGGATGGGAGCCAGGTTAGGTGAGTGGACGGGCTGGCCCCAGGGTCAGCAGTCATGCAGGCTGGGCGGGGAGGCCTGGGGTTTCCGCCACGAGGGGGCGGGAAGCCGGGGGTCCCGGAGCCAGAGTGGGGGGCCAGCCTGGAGCAGGGAAGGGACAGCAGCAAGAGGCAGAAGGAGGTGTCTTGGAGCAGCCAGGCCAGCAGCGGGGGGCTGGGGACAGGGACTCCTGGGACCCCGGGGTGGGGGATACGTTACCATGGGGGGTTTGCTCCCCGACTCCTTCAAACAGAAGGCAATTGCGTGCTGGGGGGAGAGGAGCAGCCATCAGCGGGGCGGGGGGTGCTGACCTGCTGGGCCCCCAAGCCCACCTCCGGGGGAGGGGGTGGCCCTCGCTGACCCTGGTCCCGAACCCTGGCCATCCAGCTCCCTGTGCACTGGCTGGCTTTGGGGACCCCAGCTCCTCCCAGCCCCAAGGGACCCCACAGTGCAGCCTCTGATGCAGGGAATCCTCCTCCCACAAAAGATCCAGGCCCCCAGCTCGGGCAGAGGATGCATAGGAAGCAGGTAGGCAGGAGGAGAACCCCCCCAACCCAGGCCCCCAGGGTGGAAGGAGTGAGCAAAGGTGGGGGACCCCAGCCAGCCCAAAACCTCCCTCCACTTTCCCTTTGCATATCTACTGCAGGAGTCATTTATGTGAAGTACAGAGAGGTTCAGACACTTGTGCAAAGTCACACAGCTTATTAGGGGAAGAGAGTGATTCAAACTTCCAGCTTCGGTGAAGCAGGACATGCTCAGAGGGTCCTGCCCTCTTAGTGGACAGGAAAGGGGGTGTTTTGCCCCTCGATTCACAGGAAGAGAAGTTCACCCTACCCCATCAGGTCACTGGGGAGGGGTCTGCCCTCTTAGTTAATGGCAGAGATGCCACCCTTCTCTTGGCTCACAGAGGGGTTCTCCCTGGGCCCCCCGGGCTGGAGTCCGACCTCCTTTGCTCACAGGTGGGAGAAGGTAGGAGAAGGCGCAGACAGGCCGGCAGAAACAGACAGACACACACGTAGCGACAAGCAGGGCAGGCAGACGGGGCGGACAGACAGCCCCACTTACAGGAACCAGCTTCCAGTACCAGCGTGTGGGGCACTGACGCCAGAGAGGCAGAGAGGAGGGCAGCGGGCACCGGCGCAGGGGACAGCGCAGAAAGAGAGAGAAGGGAAGAAAGAAAGGGAAAGAGAGAGAGAGTGTGTCACCTCCAGCCCCCCACCTTGGGAATGGCCGTGAGGCACAGCCCTGCCCCGCCCACCCAGCTCTCCATCATCTGTCTATTTGTCGGCCTGTCCCACGCCCTGGCCTCACCGAGGGCTGAGATGGGGCCGCCCCATCTGTAGGGGCGGCGGGAGAAGCTCGCTGGGCAGCTTCCTGCTCCGTCTTTTCCTGCAGCCGCCGGACCGTCTGGGGGTGCAGGGAGAGGTCAGTGCTCTGGACGATGCTGGGGAGGTGGGGACCCCCAGCCCCATCCCGGCCCAACCTCACCTACCGTGTCCACCCAGAAAAGGAGCTTGTGCTCCAAGCTGGTCAGGGCCAAGGGACCCGGCAGCGTCTTTGTCCACTCGAAGGCAAAGGCAACCATGAGGGCGTCGATGACAGCCAGGTGGGCTCCCTGTGGGGGCAAGGGCTGGAGGGTGAGAGCCAGGTGCAGGGATGGAGGCTCCTCCCAGCCTCCCAGGGCCAGGGAAGAGGGAGAACCGGGGAGGTGGGAGGGGCTTAACGTGGGAGGAGCTTGAGGGGAGGGGCCAGGGCTAGTGGGTGGGGCCTTGAGGGAAGGAAGCAGAATAGGAGGTCCTAGAAGAGCCACTTAAGATGGGCCAGGCTTTGAGGTGAGAAATTAGGCTGTAAGATAGGGTGGGCCACGTAGACAAGTCCTCAAGGACGACAGTAGCACCTTTTCAGTCAGACCTGGTGGGAGGAGCTAGGCTTAATGGATGGATCTTGGGGGGAGGAGCCAGGCCTGGTGGGAAGAGCTTGAGGGGAAGAGCCAGACCTGGTAGGAGGAGCTAGGCTTGGTAGGTAGAGCTCAGAGAGGAGTCAGGCCTCATGGTGGGAAGTGCTTGAGAGGAGGAACCAGGTCTGGTGGGAGGAGCTAGGCTTAATGGTAGATCTTGAGAGGAGCCCAGCCTGGTATGAGGAGCTTGAGGGAAGTAACCAGACCTGGTGGGAAGAGCTAGGATTGGTGGGCAGAGCTCAGGGAGGAGCCAGGCCTGGTGGTGGGAGGTGCTTGAGAGGAGGAGCCAGGTCTGGTGGGAGGAGCTAGGCTTAATAGGTGGCTCTTGAGGGGAGGAGCCAGGCCTGGTAGGCAGACCTTGAGGGGAGGAGCCCAGCCTGTGGGCGGTGCTTGAGGGGAGGAGCCAGGAATGGTGGGCGGCACTTCAGGCAGGGGCGGGGCCTACCATGAGAATGGGCTGGTGCTTCAGGTCCGCCTCACGCACCGGGCGCTCTGGCAGCGCGGGCACCGTGCCCCTCCGAGCAAGCAGGGCCAGCAGCGCAGAAGGGCTGGGGGGTGTCTCGAGCTGCGGCAGCGCCTGGCGCCAGGCCCGGCAGTAGAGCTCGGCCGAGAGCAGGAGCCGCGTCACCGGGGGCTTCACGTGCTCCTGTGCATACTGGTCGGTATAGAAGGGCTCCCACAGCTCTGGGGGCACGTGCTCTGTGGGGGTGGGGGGAGACACGACGAGTCAGGGCCACCAGATACACCACACACACATACACAATCACATGGCCTCAACGAAGGGGGCATCTGGACTAGGGAGGATGGCCCCGAGAAGGGAGAGACGGACAGGATCTGGGCTGAGACGCGCAGGTATGCAGGACTGAGCCAGAGGAAGGGAGGCTGGTGGTGTTCCAGGCAGAGGGGACTGCAGATGCAAAGCGGGAGGTGGGAGAGAACACAGTGCCTCAGGGAGATGGAGGGGAGGCTTCCCTCACCCCAGGCTGGCTGGGCAGGCTGTTGTAGGTCCCTAGGAGACAACAATGACAATCTCAATGACAACAGCCTTCCTGTGCTGGCTGGGTGTAGACTCATCTAAGCCCTACATCAACCCTAGGAAGCACACAGGGCACGACTGGTAACTCCACTTAACATAGGAGGAAACCGAAGCACAGAGGAAAGTATCCTGCCCAAGGCCACACAGCTCTTCCATGCCAGCCGGGACAGAGATTCAAACCCAGCAAACTCTACACCCTCTTTCCACTTGCAGGCCGAGTAGGAGGAGCTGTGAAGTGGGGGGCCCGCAGGTAGGGCATGGAACGAACGGGAGAGGTGCTCTGCCCAAAGGGACCTTCGAGGGAGTTGTGTAACCTGGACTTGGTGACTGAAGGGAGGAGGTGGGGGACAGAAAAGGAGGCGCCTAGTGCCCTGTTGGGGTCTGAGGAGGAAGATGGAACAGAGCGGGTAGTGACTGAGCTGGCGATATGGGGTGGGAGGGCAGCAGGTGAGGGGGTGAAAGCTGAGCATGAGGGGCCTTGGAGACATCCTCAAGGCAGAGGACACCAGGGCTGGGGCTTAGGGGAACAGCCTGGAAACCCTTGAAAGACAGTGGGAAGAGGCATCAAGGAAGCCCCAGGTGGATGGTGGGGGCAGAACCCCAACCAGGACCCTCTCTGCCCAAGTAGGGTAGAGAGGAGAGAGCCAGGAAGATCCAGGGAGGTCGGGGCACCTGAGCTCCTGCTCGAATCAGCCCAGCTGTTTTGTACATTGGGTTTCTGTGTTTGCAAGAACGGGGTGGAGAGGTCTTGTGCTTCACAACGTATTTGAATGTGACCCCAAAGACCAGACCTCCCCCAGGAGTCCCTCTTCACAGCCAGGCTCCCAAGAAACCCCTCACCCAGGAGGACCCAGGCATCCTTGCCTACCTTCTGTCCCCTCCCTGCCCCCTTCTGCACCTCGAAAAACCACACTTGACCTTCCCACTTACAGCCCCACCCCGTGAAGAACTGTGCCTTTTCCCTGCATCCCTCAGCTCAGCTCCTTGAAAGAAGAGCGATTTCCGGCTCCCGGTCAACTCCCCCCGCAACAGTCCCCCCGCCCTGCCTCAACCTCCCTGACCTGGCTTCTGCCCTCATTGTTTCCAGCCTCCCCAAGGCCAGCAAGGGTATCCAATACGAATCTGTGGGGTATCTCGCCTGGGCACCTCCTTCTTCCAGAAACCTTCTTCCCCCTGGCATCTCCTTGTAAAGGGACATGCCCCACCTCAAGACACATGACAGCTTCCATGGCCATCTGAGGACTGCACCTGCTGCAGCCCAGGCCAAGGGTGCCACGCCCCACCCCCACATCTCCCACAACTCTCAGCATCTTCCCTTTATACCTGCTCCTCCTCCCTGTCCCCAAGGCAGTGAGGAATCACCATCCTTCTCTTTCTTTACCCTCAAACCCCACATCCAATCAGTCCTGAGGTTTCAACCTCCTGGCATCTCCCAAATCCAAACCCTCCTCCCCAGCCCGTGCTGGAGAACAGACCCCAGGCACTCCCCGTTCCTGTTAGCAAAATCAAACAAGTTTCTTTCCTGTAGTACTTCTAAGGGCCTTCAAGATGAAAATATGTGAACTAGGGCTAATGATCGCTAACACTTTTTTGATTTTTGGTTTTCTGAGACAGGGTCTTGCTCTGTCACCCAGGCTGGACTACAGTGGCACGATCATAGCTCACTGCAGCTTTGAACTCCTGGGCTCCAGCGATCCTCCTGCCTTGGCCTCCTGAGTAGCTGGGACTGCATGTGTGCACCACCACGCCCAGCTAATTTTTCTATTTTCTTGTAGAGATGGGGGTCTCGCTATGTTGCCCAGGCTGCATCAATATTTATCAAGCGCTTATTCTATACCAGTGTTCCTCTACCTTGGCACTGTTGGCATTTGGGGATAGAGAATTCTTTATGTTGGGGGAATGCTATCCTATGCATGGTAGGGTATCCAGCAAAATCCCCGGTCTACACTCACTAGATGCCAGTAGCACATTCCTTCCAAGTAGTGACAACCAAAAATGTCTCCTAAGGGAGAAAACTGTCACCAGTTGAGAACCATTGCGCTATACTATAAAATGTTCATTAAGCATTTCCTGCAGAGCAGTGCTACACAATTTTTTTTTTTTTTTTGATACAGAGTCTCACTCTGCTGCCTGGGCTAGAGTGCCGTGGTGTCAGCCTAGCTCACAGCATCAAGCGATCCTCCTGCCTCAGCCTCCTGGGTAGCTGGGACCACAGGCATGAGCCAGCATGCCTGGCTAATTTTTTCTATATATTTTTAGTTGTCCAGCTAATTTCTTTCTATTTTTAGTAGAGACGGGGTCTCACTCTTGCTCAGGCTGGTCTTGAACTACTGATCTTGAGCGATCCTCCTGCCTCGGCCTCCCAGAGTGCTAGGATTACAGGCGTGAGCCATCACGCCCAGCCTAAAAACACTATTAATGAGATATTTCACATCTTTTTTTTTTTTGTACCAAGTCTTTGGAATCCAGTGTGTGTATGTGCCCGTGTGTGTGTCTATGTGTGTGTGTCTATATATATGTGTGTGTGTGTATGTGTGTGTGTGTGTGTATTTTTTAAGATGGGATCTTGCTCTGTCACCCAGGCTGGAGTGCAGTGACATGATCACAGCTCACTGCAGCCTCGAACTCTCAGGCTCAAGTGATCCTCTTGCCTCAGCCACTGAGTAGCTGGGACTACAGGTGCACACCACCACACCTGGCTAATTTCTCTGGGGCTTTTTTGTACAGATGGGGTCTCGCTCCTGCTCAGGCTGGTCTCAAACTCCTGGCCTCAAGCAATCCCCCTGCCTTGGCTTCCCAAAGTGCTGGGATTACGGGTGTGAGCCACGCACCAGCCTAGAACCCTTTCTTAATCTTATCTCTGAGCTGTGTTCTCCTGAGCCCACCTGCCTGCATTCCTGCCCAACCTTCTCATACCTGTGCCTCTGGGCCACCAAAACTATTCCTTCCTCCAAGCCACTGTTCCCACTGGGCAACTGCATACCTGATCATGTCAGTTCTCAAATACCTTCTATGGCTCCCTAGTGCCCTCAGATCCCCACCCATGGCCTGAGAGGCCCTCATCAGTCTTACCAGCCTCCTCCATCTCCCATCTTCCCTGGCCACCACAGGGACCTGCATGTTCTTCTCTGAGAACTCTTTGTTGGCCCACATTCCTGGCCTTTGCACACACGGTCTCTTCTTTGTGGCAAACTCCTACACATCCTTCAATGCCCAAACCCTTTCTCCTCTGGGGAGCCTTCCCCTCCCTCCCCAGAAGATTTCAAGAATGTCCTCCCCCCAGGCGCTGCTGCTTTCTTCTACATCACAGACCTTATCACTCTATGCAGCAACGATCCAGTTTCATGCCCATCCCCCTCTCTCCCGCATCCATCCCGTCCTCTCTATACCTTGGGCGTCCAGCACCAGCCTGGCACCTGCTAGGCATTGGTCAAGAGTCCCAGAATTCACGAATCTAGCAGATCTCTGTTCCCCTTTTCCTTTAGCCCCCCTCTTTTTAGAGGCAGCTGGGGGACAGACTGAACCTCACCTCCAGCCCCTAGAGGGTATCACACAGCCGAGGGAGCTCCGTCAATGAGAACAGAAACTGGGGGCGTCAAGGGACTGGGATCTTATCAACACCCCTCAAGGGACTTTGCTTTCCTTTCTGCAAAATGGGACAGTGATTTCTGCTCTGTCTCCTGGCCAAGGCATAATGAATAATGTCGTTAATAAAAATACCACCCCCAGTCACAGCAGAAACAATCGTGAACATATCTTTAGTGTGTGCCGGACATAGCGTGAAGGAGTCTGTAGTCACTACCTCCTGTATACCTCCGGGCAGCCTTGCAAAGAATGTGCTGAGATTTTGATCACCCGAGTCCTGGCCTGGCACATAGCGACTGCCCCATGAACATATGGGAAATAGATAAATAAATGAACGAAAGCCTTCCGTCACAGAGGGGGAACCGTAAGCTCAGAGAATCGGGATAATCCATCCACATTCTGGTGGGGGTGGGACTCAAACTCAATTCTGAATCCCAAACTTGAGCTCTCCACGGCCTCATAACCTTAAATATGAGGGGCTGGGACATCCCGGGGTCCCAGGTCCCAACTTCTAATCCCTTTCTTCCTCAAGCAAATCCCTGAGACATGGATAGTCCTCAGAGTGGGCCACACACGTGGAAGGGCGCAGGAAGAAAGAGGAAGGGACAGGCTCGGGTGGAACCAGGAGAGGGACAGCTGTCACCAGACCCACACCCAGAACAGGTTGATCTGGGAAGGCCACTGAGAGGGGGATGGGCTGTGCCCAGTTGGTGCCAAGACCAGTGGGCAGACAAGTGGGAGGGAAGGGCGTCTTCCCCCCACGGCTCCCCCCAGGAAGGCCCAGACCTTAATTAACCCCTGGCTTCTCCAAGGCCGGGCTCTGGCTTCCAGCTCTGGCCTGGGGCCATGGAGCTGCCCAGAGCTGGGACTGAGCGTGCTCAGGGCCTCTGATCCCCGGAACCCACGGGCACGGTCCCCATCGGGGCGGCCTGAGTGGGGGCCAGCCACGCGGGCCTGGGGGAGGAAGTGGAGGATCGGCCTTCATGCGAGAAGGCCCTGCAGCGGGGCCCCCCACCCCAGCGGGATCCTGGACAAGCCATCTCCCTTCTACTGGGCTCGCCCGCCTCCTCGGTTAGATCAGGGAATAAGTCACAGCTGCCAGCCGCCGGCCGGGGCCATGCAGGCGAAAGAGGGGCTCCCCAGAGCCGCCCGGCCGCCGCCCGCAGCGCAGGCAGGGCCGGCGCGGGGTGTGTGTCCGGGCCCGGGGGCGTGGGGACCCGAGCGCTTAAGGCCCCGAAGCCAGAGGCCGGGGCCGGGGGAGGGGGCGAGAGGGGTCGCGGCAGGCGCGTGATGCGAGCGTGCAAAGGGGAGGAGGGCGTGCGAGGGAAGGCCCCGGGGGTGCGGGAGGCGGGAACCCCACACCGGGAGACCCCACCCGGCTCGCAGACCCCGCCCCGCTCACCTGGGGGCTCGGACGCCGGGGTCCCCGCGCCGAGCTGCACCGCCGGCCCCACCCCCACCGCGCTCCCGCAGCCGGGCGGGCAAAGTCCACGGCTCGGCCCCGGCCCAGCAGGAAGCCCAGAGGCCCGGCGCGGCGGGGAACCCGGGCCCGGGGACCCCCGGCGGCCGGCGCTATTGT